CTGTCCACCTGTCCAACTGTCCACCTGTCCAACTGTCCACCTGTCCAACTGTCCACCTGTCCAACTGTCCACCTGTCCAACTGTCCAAAGACGGTTTTCACACCTGCTCTCTGAGTTTTAAACTGAATTTGTTTTTATAAATGTCTCTGACTGCTCTGGTTCTGTTTGTTTGTTTGTTTGTTTGTTTGTTTGTTTGTTTGTTTAAATGTCTCTGACTGCTCTGGTTCAGTTTGTTTGTTTGTTTGTTTGTTTGTTTGTTTAATTGTCTCTCACCGCTGTGGTTCTGGTTTTGTTTCAGCCGACCCGCTGGTGGGAAGCATCGCCACACAGTACCTGACCAACAGAACGGAACACGACCGAATAGCTAAACAATGGACGAAGAGATACGCCACATAGACCCCCCGCGGTGAACCGTCCTCCCCTCCCCCTCCACTCCCCCTCCCCGTCACTCTCTCTACCTCTCACCCTTAGTATGTCGAAGCACACTCACTAAGTGCAACGGTAAACCTGCCCTCCTGTCGTCGCCCCCTCCCCCCTCCTCCCTGTTTTATCTACATTTTCTGTGCAAAAACAAAAAAAAAGTAAAACAGAAAAAAAAATGTCCTTTGTTCCTTGTTGACTTGAAAGCTTCTTTTTTTATACAAAGAGTAGATTGGGATTTTTATTTTCCAATATGTGAATGTTGGAAGTATTGTATTGGAGAAAAAAAAACACAGAATAATAATATTATCTTACACGTTGTCCTCCAGCTCTGCAGTATGTATTCTCATTTTCTTAGTGGCACCTGGAACAAACATGCAGACGATGCTTTGACTTTTTCTCCTCGTTTTGTTCATTTTTTAAAATCTGGTTTCTTTTCTGTGTTCGTCCTCGGTGTGTTTTCTGCATGGGTCGGGAAGGTTTGCGTCGGTGGATTCTTCTCGCTTTTTAACCTCTTCTTCGGATTTTGTTTGTACTGTATGTATTTTTTCAACGGCTTTTGAGGCAGACCGCAGAAGGCAGAGGTCTGCCTGTGAAAGAGGCAGGACTTGTATATTTACTGGCTACCCGCCACCTCTGCGACCGCAGAGTGGTTTGTCGTGCACTTGTATATCTGAAGCACCCAATAAAACACACCGTGGTTGGCTTGTGAGAAAAACTCCCTGCTGTCTGTGATCTGTGCTGCTCCTGGTTTAAAACCATCACATCACTGGTTTAAAACCATCACATCACTGGTTTTCATGAGATCAGGCTGAGAAACACGTCAGCTGGACCAAACAGTGTTGTATGAAGTACCTCAAAGTGATACCTGAGTACAAGTATAATATCAGAAAATTACTTTGGTAAAAGTTAGTTTCCTCTAAGAGTACTATATAGTGTATATACACTCACCGGCCACTTTATTAGGTACACCTGTCCAACTGCTCGTTAACACTTAATTTCTAATCAGCCAATCACATGGCGGCAACTC